TCAGTGAAAGAATATAAAATACATATGTAGATATTCAGTCAAATAAAATAAGAAAGAAAAATTTAATGATTGTGAATTAAACGAGAAATGAATATATAAATTATTTGAAACAAAATAATGAATGAAAGAAAAATTAACTGAAAAGAAAAATGAAAATATGCAATGAAAGAAAGATTGAAAAATTAAATGAGTGATTAAGAAAGAAAATGAGATAGATAGATAGATAGATAGATAGATAGATAGATAGATAGATAGATAGACTTTAATACATTTCTGAAAAGACTCAGATAGATAGATAGATAGATAGATAGATAGATAGATAGATAGATAGATAGATAGACATTCAGTGAAATAAAATAAGAAAAAAATTAATGACTGGGAATTGAATGAGAAATGAATATAAAAATTATTTGAAAAGAAATACTGAATGAAAGAAAACTAACTGATTAGATAAGAAAGAAAAAATTAATATATGCAATAAAAGAAAGATTGAAAAATTAAATGAGTGATTGAGAAAGAAAGAAAGAATGAAATATAGATAGATAGATAGATAGATAGGCAGGCAGACAGGCAGACAAATAGATAAATAGATATTCAGTGAAAGAAAATAAGATAGATAGATAGATAGATAGATAGATAGATAGATAGATAGATAGATAGATAGATAGATATGAACAAACCGAAATAAAACAAAGATTGAAAACTTCAGTGAGGAAAAACAGCAATAGAGAAAAACGTAATTTCAATATATTAAAAATGAAAGAAAGAAGAGAAACAAGAAATTTATAAATAAATGTTAAATCCTCGAGAACATAAAAAAGATATAACCATTAATAAATATTGATTGGTTTGTTTTATTTTACGATATTTCAACTTCACTAGGTTATTTAATGCCGAGAAGTTTTTTCCTGATAATATTTTGTTCTGTCAAATATCTATTTCTGGTAATATTTTTCCTCAAAGATGTATAGCTGGTAATATTATTTTAAAACATGTATTGATGGTAATACTTTTTTTCACAAACGTATTGCTGGTAATATTTTAACAAATTTTCAAGTTTGTACAAAGTATTTCTGGTACTAAAACCTATTTTTACACTTTTATAATGCGTTTTACCTCAGTTTCGGGGTTAACTCTTTGCCCATAGCTGGGACCCTAACAGGTACTACCACCCCGGGTCTAGATAGACCTGGTAACACAAGCAATTAAGAGGTGATTCCACGCTTCTCAAAACCTTCTGATGAAAGTCCTTGCTGTCGGACGTAGTTTATCGTCTTACCCAGGACGCGGATGTAGTTTTTCGTCAGGATGGATAAATACTGAATGACTAGACTATTAAATATAAACGAAGAAACATTATGAGATAGTCAAGTACAAAAATTTAAATATATGAAATGTTTTTAAACAGAGGACAGAAAGCGTGACAACGGCAACTGGAGTCACATTTGAATAACGAAAAATGCCTTCCAAAATTTAATCAATGAATGAAGAAACAGGAAAAGCTTCTTTAGAAACAACGAGGATTGGAGTGTTATGTAATATCTGTGTTTCTATATAGCATTAAATGCTGGATAATCTTATCCCAAATTAAGAAGAAATTTGACAAAAATATGATTATACAGAAGGATACTGAGAATGTCATGTGAGCAACGACAATGTTTTAGAGAAAATGGAAAGAAAAATGGAAATTATAATCAGAAAAAGACAGGTGGGTTTTCTTAGAGGCGTAATGAAGAGAGAGGGCTTAGAAAACTTCAGACTCAAAGATATATAAAAGTCAAGGCAGAGGAAATACCTACCTAAGGAGCTTATAAAAATGGGTGGGGACACAGCGATTTTTTTTAACATTTTCAAACCTTGGAAGGAGACACTGCCACTAGAAGCCAGGGGGTTACAGGGCTAAAGTGAAAATGAAAGTGAAAGTGAGTCAAAGAGAAGGAAAATACTGGGGAAGATTGAGTAAAGTACTAAAAAGGAACATCAGTCAAAAAGACAGAAGATGGTGATTGCGATTGCATTTAAATTTGTGAAGATTGTAGGTGACAGGGATGCAGAAAAATTGGAAATAAAAGTGCAAGAACAGAAACTATTAGAATGGAATTGTCGGTTGCATCCAGCAAGTTCAACGGTAAATCGTTGAACGCTAGTTGTCAATATAGCAGCACGTTTAAATGCATGTAATCTATGCACTATGGAAAACAGCTCAGCAGAACAAATGACATGAAAATATTTGTACAAATGACACAGGGAAACAATATCATGTCGGTGTGGAAGTGATTGAAGTTGAGATGCGAGATCAGGTTCGATTACATTTCAGTCTCTCCTTTGAATTTTGTCAAGAATCTCGAGATGTATAATAGAAGCACCGGCCCAAATATGTTTGCTATTTTCACTATTGCGTAATGCGTATATATATATATATATATATATATATATATATATATATATATATATATATATATATATACCCAAGAGGAGAGAATCAACATAGAAATCAATGTCCAGGGCAGATAAGAATATAATATAAAAGACTCAAACATTAATATTCCATGGTTATAATTTATTACATTGGAATAGTAATCACGATCCAATTCAACAGACCTACAAATTAGGTCTGATGAATTGATCGTGATTACGATTCTAATGTAATAAATTATAACCATGAAATATTAGTGTTTGAGCCTTATATATATATATATATATATATATATATATATATATATATATATATATCTGTGTGTGTATGTGTATTTAGGAAGTCTTCATTGAAACATGTTTCATGGAATAATATAGATAGAATATGGCTATTTATTTTATTTCCCTTCTTGATCTTAAATGAATATAATACTGATGTCTCATTTTAATAGATATATTTCTCAAAATGACACCCAAATACTTTGAAATACTAACTAATAAATTTATTCAATAAAATCGTCATTGGCTTTAACCATGACCTCCAGACGACTTTGTAATCTCCTGCAACTTTTCTGGGCGGTCTCCTTGTTTAAATTATTGAATGTTTCCATAAACCTTACCTTCAGTTCATCTTTGGTGTTAATACTAGTTTTTTGGGGGAGGCCTCTGGCTCAACTGCCCCCTACAATCAATAATCAAGTGGGGGGGTTACCGTCTGGTGTGTTGTTTCGATGTAAGAGGTGATGTGGTCGGAAAATTTGTCTGACGGCCATGAATGGCATTTCCTGCTTGTGTGGCATAGTGCTGATTTCCTTCTTACTGTTAAGTGTGTCTGTGTGTGTGTGTGTGTGTGTGTGTGTGTGTGTGTGTCAAGAAATATAGTTTTATGGTGTGCTATAATTATGGGATAAAGTGCTCAATATCAGAGATAAAGCGTCAAATTTTAAAATAGAAAAAAATAGAATGATAATATATAGTGAATTCAGAAAACTAAATTTAAAACCTTTCGTCAACACTAAGTTAAAAAGGGTAAACTTCCTCGACATAACTCTAGACGTAATGAACAACATATACCTAACTTACAGAAAACCTAACACTAATCTCTTGTGTGACGTCCCCAGCCGCTGCTCGTTGCTCGCCGCTTCGTTCGGGTGTCGCCGCTCCAAACGTGACGTCCGCCTGTCTGCGTCAGTCGTGCTACCCCGTCCTGTGACGACCAACTGGCTTGGTATTGATCGCGGCACCCAAATGTGACGTTCTAACCTTTTGGTGATTCGGATGGGAATCAGGTTAGATTCAATATCAGCCTCGTCGTTCCCAACTCGCCTCCAACGTCTGGTTACCGAAGTAACTACTTTGATCTCCCGTCTGCCTACCCACGTTGATCTTAGGTAGACGAAATCAATCAGTCGTCGGGGCCGTAATGCAAGTCGAGTTCGAAGGGTGGTATCGCACAAGTAGATGTAAAAGAAAAGAAAATAATAACTCGAAAAGTTCAAAGGTATCAAAAATAGGATAACAATACTTTATATCTGGTTGCTGGATACATAGAACTGAGTCTATCTTCCGACCCACTATATGGATTCGTGACACGTTGTTTTTGTTAGGCAAGTCTTAACATCTTAAGTTGTCTGTTCTTTCAGAAACTGGTTCTTGGTGTGTCTTCAGGCGATAGTCGTAAAAATTGTTTTGGTGGTATGAGTCTAAGTCGCTCTTCAAAAATAAATTGTTCTTGGATTGAAGATGGGTTCGGAATTGCGCGAATCTTAGTCAGCTCTGCGTGGTGGGTCTTCATAGCTCTCAACTTAACTCGAACTCACTGGAAACTCAACTGAACTGAACTGACTTTCGCTCGCTGCGACTTTGCTTATATGGACGCCGACCAAAACCGGAGTGGGCTTGTCAGGGTTTGAGGTTCCTTGATAATTCCAAATCCACAATCCCCTTCTTTTGTTTTCGGCCAGGAAAAATGTATTATTTCCATTTTTGGAAGTCTTCTCTTACCTCCACTTTCTTTCGTTCTCATATGGATCTCTTACCATACCCTCAGAAGGCGTCAACGGTTTTCCTACTCCTTCGCAGTAACATCTCATACCTATGCTCTTAATGAGTGGTAGCAGGCCTCTCCCCCTACATCACTTGATCCCCTCCGCCTGGTTATCGTTAACCTTCACCCAATGGGCGATCAACAGTGTGGGTCTGACCAGACTAACCTTGCTTTTTAAAAAAAATATCTTGCTCAAAGAAAAAAAAAAACTCCTCTTTTTCTTTTTTCTATTTCCTTTCTTTTCTTTTCTTTTCTTTTCTCTCTTCTTCTCTGGCCGCCAACAGAACAATACGACCCGTAGTGGGATAATCTCAATTCCTATCCCAAAGTCACTTTCATCTCAGATTTTCGCCAGAACCAAGTGGCTGGCCAAACAGACGCATTCACTTCTCGGTGCCAACCACTGATACGATGGACACGACTTTGCCATTTTTCTGATAATATTGTTTCGCTCATAGTCAAATTTCAACACAAAACAGACACCTTGTTTAACGATATCTTTCCATCGACAAAGACTTAACCTAGGGTTGGGTTCCCTCTGTGTGTGGTCAGGACATTCTTATTAAATTTTTATCTCTTTAGAACTCTGTGGAGGCCCCGAATGGCATTTCCGTGACACAGTTAAATGTTTATCTATTCTGTCCCGGAGGTTAGCTAGCCAATCTGGAATTTGTCAAATGGCCATAAAAATTTTCACCATTCTCCATTATCAAAATAACATCGCTAAATGCCCCTTTTTTGATGGCTTTCCTTTATCATCTAAGTTTCAACACACGCCTCTCTTTTTCTTTCCCTTCTTTTCTTCCTTTTCCTTGCAGCCCTAAATGGTGTCACACTTGTATGCACAAGTCAAACCACCCTCCATCTATAATTAAGCATATACCCACATCAATAGAGAAAAGAATCAGCATGAACTCCGCTAATAAGGAAATATTCCGACAATATAGTAATTTGTATAACACAACTCTAAAAATAGCGGATACAAAAACGCTAACATAAGTTATAGAAACAATAGTACTAACAGGAAGAAAAACAGGAAAAGATAAATCATCTTGTATACCCCTCCGTTCAACCAATTCGTTAGTACTAAGCTAGGACATAAGTTCCTAGCTTTAATTGAAAAACACTACTAATAGCAGACTTAGCGATACCTTTAATAAAACACATTAAAATTAAGTTACAGTTGCACTGAAAATCTAAAAAGAATCATAAAAAAAAAATAATAATAAAATCATGGAAAAACATGCATGCCAAAACAGTACTAATAAAAATCCTAAACTAAAATTAGGCAAAAATAATGAAAAATTATGTGATTGTAGAAAACCTGAAGACTGCCAGTTGGAAAATAAATGTCTCATAAAATCTGTGGTATACCAATGCACTATCTAATCCATTGAGAGTCCTAACACTGATAAATTATACATTGGGTCAACGAAGAATGAATTTAAAATTAGATGGAGGCAACACAAAAGCTCCTTCAATAATATTAGAAATAGAAATCAGGCATCTCTGTCCAAATATTTTTAGCATTTAAAAGAAATGAATAAAACTCCAAAAGTAAAATGGAAAATAATAAGAACTTGTAAAACCTGGGATGACCCATGCCTTTTAAGACAAAAATTATTAAACCATAGAGACGAGTTGACGTTTTGTTTTGTCGATATCAACAAAGTTTCGGATTAAATAATTAGCATGAAAAAAAAAATTTCATAGTTTAATAAAAGTCTGAAAAGCTTAATCCAATCATTAAATAGAAAAAACATTTATGAAGTCGTCAAAAAAAGCAAAAAACAAAAAAACAAATAGTAGTTCTGTGTGACGCATTTATATATGAAACAGCCATTTGATTAATAAATAAATAAATAGATAAAATAAAACAAAATTCTGTAGACACTTCACGACATATCATTTCCATAGTAATTAATTTTGTGGGCGAACATGCTTATAACGATACGTAAATTTCAAGATTGGTTATTACTAAATTTTCGCTTGATGATGAAACAGGGCTTGATACTTTAATTCAATTTAATTTTAATAATTACATTGAGGGTTTCGGCGATAGTTTTTGAAACATGAAAACTCTTATGTAGCGAAGGGATCATATTTTTTTAGAATAATTTATATATATATATATAGAGAGAGAGAGAGAGAAAGAGAGAAAGAGATAGATAGATAGATAGATAGATAGATAGATAGATAGATAGATAGTAGTGTTTTTCTACATTCTCTCCAACTTAACTGACGTCTAAATGACAATTTCTAGACTCTGTCCGGTAACATTCTAACGTACAAAAATACAATTTCAATTTTTTTTATGATCTAACACAATTTCTGTATATTATTGTTGATTTAAATTCTATCACCGGATTTCGTGCAAAAAGATCACTTTGAAGAGCTGACTTTCGTGACAACGAGTCTTCAATTCCCGAAATAATAGTACAGCGAAATTATAAAACTGAAAGCCAGACAAGATTAAATCAAGGAAAAAGGTTATTGATGTATAACATATGTGACTATGAGAACATTTTAGTGTATTTTTCTATAATTATTTATTATACATACATATATATATATATATATATATATATATATATATATATATATATATATATATATATATATATATATATATCCTTTTGTCTGTGAGATCTATTTATCTACTGTGATGTCGAATATTTCATGTATTTTAAAGTGCGATGTGTCTACTCCAAAAGAATGAATATATCGATATAAAATGCTTCTGATTAGAGGTGAAGTCATTTCTGCATGTCTGTAAAATACTTAAAAATACAGGTAAAATTCATGTAAATTATAATATTTACAGACTGATCAATCCTTCAGATAACTGAATCTTCTTGTGTGTTGCATTATATATATATATATATATATATATATATATATATGTATATATATTACACAAAATAAGAATGATGATTACATCAAGATTATGTTCATTTGACACAAATTTAATTAAAAATTGTTATGTTAATAGAATCCTCTTAGATTACATACCAACGGATTACATATATATATATATATATATATATATATATATATATATATATATATATATATATATATGTGTGTGTGTGTGTGTGTGTGTGTGTGCTGGTATGTAGAAAAATAGGAAAGAACACATTACGGAAATAATCCGTAGTTATTTAGTATTTTTGTTTTTAGTTTTAAAAAAATACAGAAGTAGAGTTTAAATTATAATTATTTTTCATACTTATAAAGATGCGTAAATTTCAAGAATGGTTATTCCTAAATTTTCGCTTGAGGGTGAAACAGGGCTTGATACTTTAATTCAATTTAATTTTAATAATTATATTGAGGGTTTCGGCTCTCGTTTTTGAAACATGAGAACTCTTATGTAGCGAAGGTATCATATTTTTTAAATATATATATATATATATATATATATATATATATATATATATATACGTGTGTGTGTGTATGTGTGTACGTGTGTGTGTATAGGATGAAATGGATAAACTCTTGTCATTTTAAATTTATTATTTCGCGCATACGCGTTGTTTGTCTTTGATTTTGTCGTCTTCACGTTATAATGGGAAAAGATAGCTATCGTCTGCGAGAAAAAATCCACCATCACGAAATTCACTCCGCAAGAAATTTGCTAACGGCATGTTGTACTGCTTGTCATTCGAACATTTCAGAGTGTTTGTCTGTCAATCTGAGGACCATGCTGAGGATTCGGAAAGATTTGGATGAGTCTAATGGTGATTACGAACGTATGTGGTGTGATCACTAAACATGGCGACGTTATGCCTCCAGTCATCTTCCTATAGCGTCTAAGACTCAGTACGAAAGCCCATGTAAATTGCCTTGAGGAGGTAGTACAACCATGTGTCAAGAGAGATGCCGCTGGAAGAATTATGTCTAGCAACAGACACTGCACCATGCCACACAAATACGAAAATCAAGCCATGGCGAGCTAACAATTTCCGCTACCATATCACCCCATAAATGTAGCCTCAGATTGCAACTAACCTTGATTATTGTGTTTTGGTCGCAAATGAGCAAGTTACCAACAAAGCTCCTTGTAACCCAAAGATGAACTGAAGGCAAAGATTATGACAGCTTTAAACCAATTTAAAAAAGGAGACCGCCCAGAAGAAATGCAGGAGATTAAAAGGTCGTCAGGAGGCAGTGTTTGAAGCCAATGTCGATTTTATTAAATAAATTCATAAAACTAAATATTTTAGTATTTCGAGATATTTTTGTGTAAGTTTGCTAAATATATCTGTTAAAATGAGATGTCAGTGACATTTTCATTTTTTGCGAAAAAAAATTTAGGCGACGATTTATTCATCGTTTCCTATGTGTATGTGTATGTCTGTGTTTTTCTCTCGCTCTCTCTCTCTCTCTCTCTCTCTCTCTCTCTCTATATATATATATATATATATATATATATATATATATATATATTAAAATTAATTGATTTAAAATATGTTTTTCCGCTACACAGTTCTAACCATGTTTCAAAAATGTAAAAATAAAAATATCTATAAGAACACCGGATTATATATCTTGCTGTTCTTTCTTTATATATATATATATATATATATTGTGTATATACAAGTTTGTCGTTACATGGGAATTTTTTATGTAGCTAGGGAGGACTATCATTGTTGTTTCGTCCGTGTGTCGTTTGATATATTGAAATTGTCATTTTTGATAAAGGCTTATGTAAGCCGAAAGCTTAGATCGGATTTAAACATCTATCAATATGATGTTTTCCATACGTCTTTAAACGATAATATGATTAAGCTTATTAGATAATATGAAAGGAACTTCCTTAAAATAAATAGACAAAACTTGTCTATATTATTTAATGAATATGTATATGCATGTATATATATATAGACTAGCAGTAGAGCCTGGCTTTGCCCGGGGATGTAACAGTAAGAGATAGATCAAGTATCGACCATCATTAACACTGAAAAATAAAATTGACAAAGATTATTGATTAAGGTTGACGGACACGCATGTCTTAATTATTATTTTTTTTTTTGGTTTGTTTTTTATGAATTGGTCAAACCCAAATCAAACAAAAACATGTTCTATATGTTTTATTATAAACAATTCTCTTGTAAATGGAATTTCTAAAGCATTCTGAAAGTAAAAATAAAAAAAGTGTGCAAGACAATAAGAAACACTACCTGCCAAAAAAAAGTGAAGTTTTGTTGAAATCGGTTAAAAAATGTAGGAAATCCGATTCCATATATAAACGAACATGTGTGTGTGTGTGTGTGTGTGTGTTTTGGCGCACACCAACTATCTTATTTATATCGGAAGTAGACAGGAGAAGGCGAGGAGAAAAAAATAAATTGTATTAATTGACTTTCTCCGGGATCATATAGACCTATAAAGTATTTGCTCATATTCATATTTATGCTTATATGTATATTTTCTACATTTTGACATAATTTCCT